TAAATATTTGACTAGATGCAATAAACTGAGGTCAATTATATGAATTATATGCTGGCAATACAAGGTTGTGCTTTATTTCTTTTTTTTTAGAAACTGGGTGTAATCAAAAATGTATTGCTTTTGACTCATAAGAGTACTATGACTGTGTTTACATGCACAAGAATGATCTGGTGTTAATCAGTCGATGAGTAAATGCATTATCATGACTGCCATAACTAGATTAAGTCAATATTCCAGTTTATAGGAGCCTCTAGACTAGCAGTTGTCAAACTGGAGGCTGCAAGGAAATACTAGGGGGTCCATGAAAAAGTTCAGGGGAAAACAATGTGGAAAAAATGTACAAATAAATAGACAATTAAAAAAAAAAAAGATTAAGAATAATTAGATTAAAATAAATAAATAAATACAGTACTATGAATAGAAAATGCAATAGGAAACTTAATTAAAAAATAAATAGTTTCCAAAGAATAGTTCAGACATATTTATAATATAAAATTTTCACTATATAAATTAGGCCTTTATATAACAACCTATGAAATTCCTTTTTAAGATATGGGGGTCCTTCACATGAATATGATTATATTTGGAGGGCCCGTTGCATCTAAAATATCAAAAATCCCTGCTCTAAACAGCTGGCATATGACTGTATTAATCCGTTATTTTTTATTTATTTATTTATTTTTTACAAACTGTAAAAGAAATGTTGCCATGCATTGTATCCACATGATTTATAATTTATAAGCTGTATTAATTACTAATTGATCTGCATAATAAGTAGCAAATGCAAGCATTTCCAGTATTTCCAGAAGAGAACAGCAGGATCCATTGGAAAATAAAACCAATGTGATTTCCCCTATTCCATTCAGAATTCAGAGAACTGACTTACATGATTTCTTGGAGGCACTTGGATCTTCTCTATGGCTGAAAGGGAATGTGGTTTTGCTCCCCTGGTGTTCAGACTGCATGGAGGAGCTCCTCAGGTGGTACGTGAGGTGCTGCTGGAGCGTGGCTGGGAGGAGTATGATGAAGAGGAGCAGGAGCAGGAGGAAGGAGACTGGAACCTCTATTGGAGAAGCTCTGGCTTTCGGAAGTCCGACTACGAAAACATCCTGCCCTGGCAGAGGCTAAACCACCATCCCAAAATGAGCCAGATTACACGCAAGGACTGTCTGGCACGACACATGAGAAGAATGAAGATCGCTTTCGGCACAGCCCTGTATGACTTCAGCCCTGCTGCTTTCATATTGCCGAACGAATACACAAAGTTTCTAGGGGTGTACACTAGGAATCGCACAACTGACAGAGCGAAGTCCCGCTACTGGATTTGTAAGCCAGTTGACCTGTCAAGAGGAAGAGGTATATTTCTGTTTGAAGACATCAAGAACTTGGTCTACAACTCTTCGGTAATCGTGCAGAGATACATCAGCAACCCGCTTCTCATTTCAGGCTACAAGTTTGATCTACGCATTTATGTCTGCGTAAAAAGCTTCTCCCCTCTTGTGATTTATATGCACCAGGAAGGCCTAGTGCGTTTCGCGACAGAAAAGTACACCCTTGCTTCTTTAGACAGCCTGTACTCTCATTTAACAAATACCAGCATTAATAAGTTTGGAATGTGCTACGCCATGGACAAAGAGCGAGTAGGCCGAGGATGCAAGTGGACCATGAGCAGATTCCGTAGTTTTCTTCACAAACAAGATGTTAACGAACTTCTGCTGTGGCACAGGATCAGCAATATTGTTACGTTGACTCTGCTCACAGCCGTTCCTTGCGTTCCCTCCAGCCCCAACTGTCTGGAACTGTTGGGGTTTGATATCCTCATCGACGCCAGCTACAAACCGTGGCTTCTAGAGGTCAACTACAGTCCGGCGCTTTCATTGGACTGCCCTGCTGATGTAACGGTCAAGAAAGGGCTGATCAATGATATCATCGACCTGATGAACTACAGGATGATTGATAGCTTCAGACAGAAGGGATACTGCAGGAAGAGATCGGGTAGCCGGTATTTACGGCCAAAAATCTCTCAAGGGTTTTTGTTGCCCAAGACTTTGCATGCACCTCCATCAGGCAACAAAAACTGGAATCAGTCTGTCTCAGGCTCTTCAAGTTCTCAAGACACTAGAAATAACACCGGTTATGCTACTTGCCCCGTTCACCCCAATTCAAAATCCATTGGACATGAAAAGGATCCTCAGAAGTTTGAGGAAATTAACGACGAGGTGGGATCTGATGACCTAAAACTCACAACATTTAACAGCACGAGGCAATCGCACAGAAATACACCGTCTACCGCGTGCAAGTTACCATCTCTTCGCGTACATAAACTCAAGTCTCCAGCCATCCCATGGAACCGCGTGACTCAGGACAGAGGTGTCCCTCCTTGTCGTGTTGGCGACTTCATACTTACGTTTCCCTTTAATGAGGCTACGTGGAAAGCCTCTCAGGACCAAGCAGATGTTAAGGCTATTGTGAACGAGGTTCATAAACTCACAAACCGACTGGCATCTTCCTTTAATGAAAAAGAGAGGACGAAGATGGAAAGCAGTCAGAGCATTGGTATCAGGGACAAATTTGAGCCTCTGCTTTGGGGGCCGAAAGATCCACCTCTTCTCAGCAAATGCTGCTCCTTAAATTCAGAAGTCAAGTAAAATGGTTTAAGTTGACCCAATTTTTCACAGTTTATAACTTCTTACAACACAACACAAGAGGAGGAAACTGGGAAGAGCACATATAGTATATAGTAATTGCACTTAAAATAATGGCTTTTTACAAATTTTGTCAGAATTTTCTTTTTGCCTTAAACTTTTGCATTAAAAACATCTTTGACATGTTAGCAATGATTATCCATGTCAATTAAATTCACATGTGTAAATAAAGCGTGTATATATATATATGTATACACACGTATACACACACACACACACTACCGTTCAAAAGTCTGTCAGTTTATTTTTAAGTTGCACAAAAACACAGTAAATAATGTTGTGAAATATTACAATTGAAAAGAACTGTTTCCAATTTCAATATATTTGATATTTTTTTTTATATATTTAATGTAATTTATTCCTGTGATGTAAAGCTGAATTTTCAGCATCATTACTCCAGTCTTCAGTGTCACATGAATATGCTGATTTGTTGCTCCAGAATCATTTCTTCTTATTATTAATGTTGTTGTGCTGCTTTATATTTTTGTGGAAACAGGTTTTTTTTTGTAGGATTCTTTGATAAAGAAATCTTGAAACAGAAATCTTTTGTAACATAATATTTCTTTATTGTCACTTTAAATCAATTTAATTCATGTTTGTTTAATAAAAGTGTTAATTTCTAAAATAAAAAAAAACTGACCCCAATCTTATGAATGGTAATCTATATTTCATGTTCATATACTAAGGTCAGACAATACAAAAACATCTACAACCACAAAACACAGCAGGTAAGACAGACAAGCTGACATATGTTTACATATTTTATTAAACTTCAAACTCCAAATAGAGTATTTCTAAGGCATAACAGGGGAAATGTACATAACATGGAAATGTAACTAAGCTTAAAATCCACCCTTCAAAAACAACAGTAAATGGACACAGGGTTACACCCTCTCTATGTGCCAATTTCTGTAGAACAGAATAATATTGAAAAATAACATGACATCATATATAACTTCTGAGCAAGCAATAACTGATTAAAATGATGTATTATTAAATAATAATGTATGGCTTCTTGTAAGTAAAATAAAGACCAAAAATGACAAAGAACTGAACTCTATCAAAAATAACTGTTTCCCTGAACTGTTCCTACAGTAGGTTTTAAGTTAACAATGTTACCGGCTCTTCTTTACTATTTCAGGAATGTTCCTCTACTGAAACCAGAGTGTTGCAATGTAATACAATGTCAGCACTAGTTCAGAGGGTCACAAGTCTTCACCTGCATCAGATGTGTTCATGCTGAGAGGAACTCTTAGCAATACAAGACGCCTGCTGACAGTACATGTAAAAATAAACCGGCTTAGTTAATCCAGTTGTCATACAGTTTATTGATATCTTTAGGTCAAAAAGATTCAGATGATTTTAGCCGTTGAAATCATAATAAAACATATTGAATTGCATTAATGCTTCCTGATTATGGCTTCTGTAGAGTTGTGTCTATACTATACTATAGTACTTACCATAAATATAATACAAAACAGCACCTGAAACTCCAAAAAAAGTATTTTTTCAATAAATGGTCAGTGAAAGATGCTTAAAGGGGTCATATGATGCGATTTCAAGTTTTCCTTTCTCTTTGGAGTGTTACAAGCTGTTCGTGAATAGATAAGATCCCTAAAGTTGCAAAGACTAAAGTCTCAAACCCAAAGAGATATTCTTTATAAAAGTTAAGACTCATCCACGCCCTCCTAAAACGCCTCGTTTAAACACGCCCCCACATGTCTACCTCACT